ATCTACATTATCACTCAGCAGATTCACATTATGAGCATAGACCAACAGCTGATGTGTCCCGTTTAATTTCAGCCCCACCTGGTTTCCCTGGACCTTCCTAATGGCATATTCTAAGGCAAAGTTGAAAAGGAGTGGCTATAAAGCATCTCCTTGTTCTAGACCATTCTGAATAGGAAACTAATCAGACAAATGTTTACCTACACGGACTTTACTATACATTTCGTTTAAACACACTTTAATCAACCTAACTAGTTTTATGGGTATCCCAAACTCTATACAGAATGTTGTAAAATACTTTCCTCCTAACTGAATCACAGGCTTTCTTGAAGTATATGAATAGCTGATGTACTGTCTCATCGTACTCCCATTTTCTCTCCAATATCTGACAAATGGAAAAGATCTGATCTGTAGTTGATCTGTTACGTTGAAACCCACACTGATGATCCCCAATAATTTCTTCTATATATGGACTTAACCTTGAACAAAGAATATTGAACAAAATTTTGTATGAAGTTGATAGCAGTGATATCCCCCGATAATTACTACAGTCAGTTTTATCACCCTTCTTGTGAACTGGTACAATAACAGACTCTTTCCGCTGATCAGGAAATTTTTCCTTATGCCAAATTGAAGTAATTAGATTGTGCATCTTAGAATGTAATATTACACCTCCTGCTTGAATAAGTTCTGCCTGAATTTGATCACTACCTGGCGATTTATACAGTTTCAATTTTGCAATAGCACTTTCAACATCAAAATGGCTAGGATCAGGTATTAACGGTTCAGCTGTAAGGATTTCTGTCTGCCTAACATCACTGACCCTATGTACATTCAATAACTGAGAGAAGTACTAGTTCCTCCACCTATTCAAAATATTGTGGGAATCTGCAAGCAGATCACCATTCTCATTTTTCACTAAGTTACTGCTAGGCTGCTAACCCCTCTTAAAGTCATTTATTCCTCTATACAGGTCTCTAATGTTCTTGTTCTTACTGTTCATTGCAAGCTCATCAATTTTGTCTTTCAGATATTCCCTCTTTTTGTTCCTGAAATGCCTGCTGCTTCCATGTCTTATATTGTTCAGATTATTCCCATTTAACTTGCTTGGATCCTGTAACCATTCCAATTTGGCCTGCTCTCTTTGATCTAATAATTTTGAGCATCCCTCATCGAACCATGGCTTATGCTTCTTCAGTTCATAATAATCTAGATTCTCTTTGGCAGACACTTTTATATTCTCTCCAATAGTTTCCCAAGCTTTATTAACATCCACCTCAGTGTCCAAGTTTTCCAAGGCCATGAACCTATTTGAGATTTCAACACAATACTGCTCTTTATCCTCTACCTCATTTAATTTCTTGAGATTGAACCTCTCCATATGAACGGTGTGTTGTTTGTTTGCTCACTGCCAGTCTTTCCATAACCTTTGCCACCACCAGGTAGTGGTCAGTATCACAATCTGCTGCCCTGAATGATCGGACATCAAGTATACTTGAATGCTGTCTCCTGTCTATCAAAATATGGTCTATTTGATTATGTATCTTCCCATCAGGAGATGTCCAAGTAAATTTATGGATGTTATGATGCGGGAACATTGTACTTTTGACAGTAAGATTATTTGATGTGGCAAAGTTTACAACTCTAACTCCATTATCATTACTAATTTCATGCAAACTCTCATTCTCAACTGTTGGTTTGAAAATGTCTTCCCTCGCTACTTTGGCGTTGAAATCTCCTAACAAAATTTTCATAGGGCACTTCGGGAATTTATCAAATACATGTTCTAGTTATTCATAGAATCTATCCTTAATGTCATCAATTTTTATCTTCTGTTGGGACGTGAACATTCATAACAATGTTATCACGCCAGCGATATTTTAGTATTATATACGATATCCTATCACTAACGAACTCTACTGTCTTAACTGCTGATATGATTCTCTTATGTATGAAAAAACCTGTACCTAATTCATGATTTTCATTCCCTTTTCCACAGAAAAATCTATATTCGCCTGCTGGTGCGATGCCACCTCCATCCCATCTGACCTCCTATACTCTTGCTAAATCTAACTTATATTATGATGTTTTATTCCTTTGCAGGATTTTTTAACTACTCCTCTAAATGCAAAAATCAAACATTCCATTTAGTAGATCCTTATTCCAGTAGGTCACACAGTAAAGTTATGTTCTCTCATTTAGAGACATTTTGTAACAGTGTCAAAAAGCTAGACAAGTATGAACGGTAAATTGAGAAGGATGCGAAGAGGTGATGGTGACCTACTGCTTTTAGGAACTGAGGAAAACCACATAAAACTTTGTACAGGTAACCTGGACTCTAATCTGAGATGGAAGTACAGAATCTCTTGATAACCACTACACCCTGATGTCAATCTTATGGTGAAAATGGAGATCAACAGCACCTCATAACTGATATTGTCACTTATGTAGGATTGGTTGGTATTCATCCATCAACATTATCAGCAGTACAAAGAGATCTCAATAAATGTGTTACAGAAAATACCAGATGTGGATCTATACATCCACTCCCCCATACACCTTCATGGCATACTGCTTAATTTGTTGAGCACAGGGACAACTTTACCTTTACCTAGAAAATACCAGATATGAAGTGAATATCTCAAGCACAATTGTGCCCTACCTTGTTGAGCCCCTAACACAAGTACTACCATATTTACTTGAATATAAAATCTGAATCTTTTCCTGATTTGACTTCTGAAAAAACAATTTTACAATTCCTGAAAGAAAATAGTTCGTTTGTATGATGCTCTGTCCCCATCCCTACAAGGCATTCAACGCTTATGTATAGGTACCATTCCTATTCAGCGCTTCAACTCATACAAGTGGCTGCTGTGTATATCTTCTTTCATAACTATTGCAGCTTCAAAATGTTCCAGAACGTAAGTTGAAACACAGTTGAAGATAAACGGACTGCTGCACATACATGTCTTGACAAATGCCTCTTACACAGTTTGTAATTATCGATTTAGTTTCAGTTTACTGAATCACTGTTAGCAGCAAAGTATATATATTATTCAATGACAGGATCAATTACTTATGAATGGGGCAGAATGTACAAAGAATCATTCATGATCTAATTTGAAGTACTATCCTGGTATTTGCCTGAGGAGACTGAGGAAAGCCATGGAAAGCCTCTATTATGATAGCTAGTCTCCAGTCCAAGATTTTAAAACATGACATCCCAAATATTAAGCAACAATGCCATACACTCAAAATCAATGTTTGGTGAACAGTTTGTAGAACTGTTCACTTGCTGTCAGACTAATGAACATTACAGTTCCTTAAGGGGCACAGTACAAAGCAAAGAAGGCTTTGAAGTAAGAAAGTGGACTGTCAACAGGATGACACGGAACATGTCAACAATTTGAAAAACAGCAAGCAGAAGCACTGTAAAGAATGCCATCTTCTGGGATGTTGCGCCATGTTGATCTTGTGTGAACCAACGTGTCAGAGGAATGTCAGTTCACACAAGATCTACACAGCGCC